TGTGTGTGTGTGTGTGTGTGTGTGTGTGTGTGGACGAGAGGCAGAAGGGCAGAGAGAGAGAGGGGAGAGAAGGAGGGAGAATCCGAAGCACAGAGCCCGACATGGGTCTCAAACTCACAAACTGTGAGACCGTGACCTGAGCCAAAATTAAGAGTCAGACACTTAACTGACTGAGCAACCCCAGGTGCCCCAAATCCAATCTGTCATAGAATTAACTCTGAGTATTGGTCATTAATATCTCATGATAGATTCAGAAGTAAAAAATGCCAATATCTAGTATAATGCCATTGTTAAAACTGAAACATTAAAGAGTTGTTGCAGGACAACAAAGATAAGGTTCTTTAAGAGTAACTTTCAGTAAGCCAGTTTGAAAGATGGCTTAAGCCTGAGGAAGCTGCTTCATTACCTACCTCAGGAGTACCTGTTGTCACAGGTTTTTCTGTCTAACAAAATCTCTGAATTTGAAGGAGTTTCTGGACACTTAAGTGATCAGACATGAACATTTCAGACTACTCAGGAGGAGAGAACTAACTCAGTGTTGTTACTGTACTTTTCATTTGTTAAGTTTTATTTCAGTAGTTCAACTTTACCACTTTGATGGTGTGTTGAGGTCTTAGGTTCTTAGAATCTTTTTTCCTTTTCAGAGTTTTAAAGCTAAATGAAGTAGAAAATAATAGTGCCCAGCATCAGATCTCTGAAGACTTTGTCATTTTGGCCAACAGGGAGAAGAACAAAGTAAGTCAGGAGTACTTTAAAATTCTTTGTATATCACTGTCTTTCTATTTGAGAATATAGTATGCAAATGTGTTTGTCTTTCGGTGTGGCTGAAAAGAACAGCACGATCCTGTAGAAATCTGAGTGTTTTTGTCTGCATAGGGAGCTAGGCTTAGCCTCATGCACAGTTGAGATTTGAAAAGAGTTGGTTATATTAAGCTGTCTTTTGCTAATTTCTGTTTCCTTTCTGGGTTTCTCTTTTAGTTTTTATTGATGAGTTATCGACCTTTGGGTTTAATTAATTGTGCAAACGTGGAGTCAGTTGGGTTAAATATGAATCAGAAATCACATACCATGCTTTAACTCCAGGTAGTTGTTTTCTTTTAGTGTGCAAATTAAGAGCATGAAGAAAATTATGTGGAGAGAAATTTCTAAAAGCAGATCCACTGCTTTTGGTATTTTATCCATTAATTTATGATAGTAAAGTATTTTTGCTAATAGGAGGATCAGAAATCTGATTTAGAATTTTCTCAGTAGAAGAAAGAATTATGGGTGTTGGAGAAGGGTTGATTGTTTAACCAAATTTAATACAATTTTGCTATTTGCTGTACATGATAGGACTCATCATATCTTTTTATTTGTCTCCATATGATAGAATGAAAATTTACTCACTGTTACAGCTTCTGGACGGGTGGTGAAAAAAAAATTTAACCTTCTGGATGATGACCCAGAACAAGAGGTATTACTTTAGCCAGACATAGCAAACCAAATGAGTGTGTACTAGCCCTATGGTTTTTAAATTATGCTTCCCAAACTCTGGGGTAGAGGTTCGGGGTGACCAGTTCCATACAGACTTCGTTGGTAGGATTGTGCGTGCTATTTCAACCAATGCGTCCCCATCATCTGCTCTTCTCATATTAGAATTATTCATAAGATTTTGTTTGCAGAAAGATTTATAGAGCCAAAATAATTTGAAAACACTACTAGCTTATTGCTTGTTAATATATACAGGGTTTTTTTCCTTTTCTTTCTTTTTTTTTTTTTTTAACGTGCACACTTTGTAGGGAAATATATCCTGATGACTTTATGTCTTTTCCTTTACAAGACACAGATATGTTTATTAATGATCGTGGGCCAGGGAAGAAGGGTGTGAGGGTGTGGTAAATTAGTTCAGCCTCTGGCCTGAACTTGACATCGCCAGCCACTGAGCTAATACATTTTTATCCTTTTCTTTTAAAGAGGCATTGAAAGTTCTTATGAAATCAACTGGCAGTGATAATGCTTTGAATATATAACCATTGCATGAATACAGAGTCTGTTTAGACCAGATAATTGTATTCGTTCTGTGACCATTTCTAGGTAGAAATATTAGAGTAGCCTTCTAAGGATAGTTTTTGAAAATCTTTTTCAAAGGTTAGAGGTTTCCCAGTATGTGGCTGCACTCCAAAAAGTATGTGGCTGCATGCCATATATATATGGCAACAATAATTAGCAAGGAGAAGGTGGTAGCAAAAAGAAAGATAGTCTCCATCAAGAGCTTAGAAAACAAGGTTTAGCCTGCAAAGGAAAAACCAAAAGGGATTGTAACTAAAAGCTATAAAATCACTGACACCCAGGCAAGAAGTCACTCTTTGAAGTTTGACCAAGGTAATATTAAGGCAAAAAAGTAAATAAAAAGGAACCATGTATAATAAATCTGATAAAGTTTTATGTTATGGGTAGTAAAGGCAGAAAATATAAGTGGATTAAAAAGTAGTTTTACCAAATGTAAGTGAAGGATTAGTACGTGGTGGTTAAAAGAAACTTGTGCCTGCCAAAATGTGCCTTCCTGTAGCCCATCCTCGGATGGCTGGCACAGATCTGCTTCCCCTGTGAGGCTATTGGAGTCCCAGGTTTTCTTCTTTAAACAGAGTTCTGAGGTTAGATTTTTCTCTTGTAAGTCTTTACCATCATTAGTCATTTCCAAGAAATATCTCTTATCCCAGTTCTGTTCTGTGGGTTGGATTTCAGTTCCTAGTTAATATTCTTCCTCAAGTGTAAGCAGCCATTTTTACTTTTTTTTAGAGAACCAAAAAGAGTTAAAAAAAAAAAAAAAAAAAAAAAAAAAAAAAAAAGATGGCAAAGAGAGTCATAAATAGTATGTGATAGGTCATCAGTTCTTCCTGAAATGACTTGTGATTTTCTGGTGTAAGACTCTTCTGACACAGTAGGTAGTTTTTAGGTTTCAGAACTGAGCTGCATATATTTAGTACTATCTGGGAACCAGTGAACACACACGTCAGAGGCAGCAGTTGAACACCTCTTTGGAACTTGGAGAAGTTCTGGGTTGCTGTCATAATAGAGAATTTCAATAATACTTTGGCCAAGATCTGCATAGACTTGAGTCTGTTAGAATCTGTGGGATGCTGCTTAAGTCTTCAGAATCTTGTGACTTTTACTAGGCATAAAGTAGAGACACATTTCTACTTATGCTCTCACCCATTCGTTCTTCTTTCCACATTTTTAAAATAAGAAAGATAATAGAAGAGTTAAACTATGAACAGGAATAATCCTAAGTGGATAACTGGATTTTGCCCCTTTTTCCTCTACCTAACCCATCCGTTCCCTAAGACTTTTAAAATTGTGGACTACGAAGATGAGCTGGATTTGCTTTCTGTGGTAGCTGTTACCCAAATAGATGCTGAAGGAAAAGCTCACCTGGATTTCCACTGTAATGAATATGGAACTTTACTTAAAAGCATTCCACTAGAGGAGTCATGGGATGTGGTGAGTAGAGTCCGTGGAATTCAAAGTTGTAAGAATTTTCTTCATAGGTGACATTCATTGAAACACGTGCTACTGTGTTCATGTCAGTCCAGGCTCGCCTGTACCAATGACCACATCAAAGAGGTATCATCCGACCGGACAAAAACGAGTACTTCTTAAACCTTCCTTCCCTAGGAACTAGAGGACGCCTCCTTTCTGGAGGCCCTAAAGATAAAGTTTTATGTTTTATTCTGAGACATGCTGTTTATTTCCTTACCATAGTCTTAGGTTTTCTCACATTTTATAAGTTTGATAACATTTTTAAAAATAGAAGCGTACTGTGTTGAATCCCCCCAGTTATTTAAGAGATGATATCTAAGCATGTAGGGTTTCTAGGCACTCTCAGAAATATCTGTTTATTTTTTTGATTATTATAGAATATAAAAGTTATAAGGAAGAGTAGCTGCCATTTTATCCAGTCATTTGTTTTATCAAATATCTGAGAGGTTTAGCAACTTGCCCACTCTCACACAGTGAGATAGAGTACAGGCAATGGAATCCAGGTGTTCCGACTCTTAAGACCAGGGTTCTTTTTATTTTCAACATTTCATGTAATGCCTGCCTCATAAGGAATCTGCATGTTCATAAATAATGACAATAAACTATTTCTAGCAACTGTTTTGCTTCCATGTATATATTTGAAGATCTCTAGCATAGGTGCTATGACATTTTAGTGACACAGTTGTGAATATGGTTGTGTGAAAAGGAGATTTCATTTGGCTGTGTTTTCATTCCAGACATACAGCCATGAAGTCTACTTTGACAGAGACTTGGTACTACACATAGAACAGAAACCCAGCAGGGTCTTCAGCTGCTACGTTTACCAGATGGTATGTGACCCTGGCGAAGAAGAAACAACAAACAGAAGTTGTGAAAAGGAGTGAGATACTTTTAAAACTTGAGATGTAACTCATGAGACTTTTAGCCACATATCCAAGCAACTATGTTCAGTCCTCCTCTCTGTTATCTGTGTAGCAAGTTCTCCAGTATTTTCTAGAAAACATCTTGTATTGACCTCACATGACTGTGACTTCTTTTTTAAATTATTGCCATACAAGTGGTAAGGACTTCATTTTATGGAGAGAGTTTTTTAGAATGACATCCCAAGAAGTCTAGCATTTAGAGCTTTTAGCTAGGTGGTGATGCAAATATCAGGTGTTGGGGAGCACAGAAAAACAAATTGGTGCCAGTTGTTGGGAGAAGGTTACTGATGGAGAAGTGTTAAACATGGTTCTTTTTTTAAATTTTTTTTCAACATTTATTTATTTTTGGGACAGAGAGAGACAGAGCATGAAGAGGGAGCAGACAGAGAGCAGAGACACAGAATGGGAGAGCTCCAGGCTCTGATCAGCCCGAGACCTGCGGGGCTACCTCTTGAACTCACGGACCATGATCGTGACCTGGCTGAAAGTTTGGACCTCAACCGACTAAAGCCACAGGCGCCCAGGCTCTAACATGGTTCTGTAAAAGGATGGTATGGAATTTTGATTGGTAAGATGATGCAGAAGAGACAAAAAAAAAAAAAAGACGTAAAGGATTCAGAAAGAAATGCTCCATCCTGTATACCAAACTTTGCCTTAGGGTGAGAAATGAGATCCATAATGTGAAATAATACCTTTGAGCCAAAAATGTGTCATCATGTTTTTTTAATCATATATGTGTATATATGTATATGTTTATATTTATATGTAGCATTAGGAATTGGTTCTAGTTCTCAGATGATCTTTTCTTCCATGGTTTTATTCTCTTGGCTTGGTGTTCCCATTGGTTATTTACATTTCTATCACAGACTAATGTAAAAGATTCCAAGCAAAATTTAAGTGAAAATTTTTCCTGATATGTAGCCCGTTTAGCTCTGAATATATCTGAGAATGTTTTACTCATTTCACCATTCTGTTTATTTGGTAAGTTTCCCAGTTCTGCTTAGGCAGTATTTTCATACCTATGCAATAAGATAAAAGTATCCTGGATCCCCCCAGTTCTGTTCCTTGTGGAAGAGTAGATAAAGTCTCAATTCCTACTAGCTTGGGGACTGACTGATTAGCTAGAAAAGGCTTTTGACTCTGGCTTAGTTGTGAAACAAGTATTTTTGCTTCTTTGTTAGGACCAATATAGATATAATCCTTGAACTCAGATAATCATTCATCAGATTGTTAAATAAAAGCGATATAAGTCTTGGGAGAAAATTGTTTCTTTTTGCTTCCTGTTTGAGAAATCCGGTTGCTGAGATCCACACGTTCAGCACATTTCCCTGATTCAGCCTCAAAAGAAGAACCAGTAAAAATAGAAGGGGAGGAAACAGCAGTGAAAATCATTGCTGAATCAAATTTAAGGTTAAAATATGGGATTGTAGCTTGGATAATTTGCATTAAAACCCTTTAGTTTTCCCTTTGGTTTTGGCCTGACCCCATGTTAAGAATGATGTGAATTCTGCCCTTTTCTGCCCTTGAAGTTTGCAGATAAATGTCAAGCTAATTACAATCAACAGTGCTGAGGAGAAAAAGGTGTTAACCTATTCCAGACATCAAGAAATTAGTAGCAGAGTCCATAAATTTAAAAGAAATAAAAGGAACAAACCTAAAACTATCTTTTGTGCAATAGGTAAGATTGCTAACGTTTTAATAACAGAAAATATTTATATGTGGCCAAAGATAAATCTTTTTGCATCTGACCTTAAGTGTAATAACCATTTGGGCAAGTAGAAGTGATTACCTTGTGAGCAAGGTATAACTATCTTCATATATTAATTCTAATCCTTATATCTCTACTACTGGAAAAATCCATTCTTGTTTTGTGCATATTTAATATAATATTTGAAGCTTTCAGAGCATTTTAGAGACCTGATTGTGGTTACAGAGCAGTTGAATAATTATGATGTACTGGATATTGCCCCAAAGTTCCAATTAGACACTAGCTATAGCTAAACAGTCATGCCCAATGAATTTACATCTTGAAAAACAAGTCCAGTAAGAGGGAATAGATTAAAATACCAGAGAAAAGAAAGAAACCAGTGTTGTATGGGTTTCAAAGCAGATGCAGTGCTATGTAAAAGCTGAAAGCCTATTTTCCATTTCCAAGAGTGTTTCAGAAAAGGTTAAGACTTCAGTCCTGTTTGATTTTTTTTAAGAAGAGGTTTATTGAGTTTCCCCATCTCCTTTAAGTCACTCTCTTCTTTTAATGAAATGATAGGAACTCATCTGCTCAGAAAGGCATCTGAGAATTAGCTGAGATTCTTGGCTGCTTTTTAGGCTGGGGGCAGGAGTGGGTGGGTGGCTAGAATACTTCTAGTCTAGGTATGAACTGACCACTGAGAAACTCCGCATGTTTCACCACTGCTAAAGTCAGACTAGACCAGGATCCTTATGCCGTATCAGCCGGACACTTTCACCTCAGTGTAAAAGACCACGGTGGTGGGGGGGGGGAGGTCAGTTGTGGGCACTGTAACAAACAGAAGGGTTATGCCCCAACTGGAAGGACAAGCTGTTCCAATCAGGTTCAGCTGATTGTGACATTTTGTGGGAATGTGGGCTGCATGACTTTTAACAAGATGGTTGATAAAAAGATGCCAAATGATACAGAAGATAGTAAAGAATGTGGGAAATTTACAGATAACACACACAGCAGGAGACAGTACAGCATGCTTCCCAAAAGAGTGTGGGTGTCCCAGCCCCCCATAGTGGCATCGCAGCTGTTCATTCCGCCACCTGCCAGCCATGACACCGCCATTCTCTTGGGGTGGAGGGACGTGGCGGTTAATATCCTCCTGGCCCCACCTCAACCCCCACTCTCTGCCTGACTCTTAGAGTCTTCAGTGGTGTGGCCCGCCTACATAACAGGCACTACTGATAGGCATAAAACATTATGGGCAACGTTTCTGAGTGTTTAATGCAAAACTGAGGGAAGCAATTTAGCTTCTTCCAGCAGGTCTAGATATTAAGCTGATGAGAAGCGTATTGCTACATTTCACTCCTTGTGATGCTGTGTTCTCACAGTATCGAGGCGGCAAGATTATCCTTCTTTGACTCTAAAACGTTTCTCTCAACTCTGAGAGAAAACGAAACAAATCCTATTGTAGTTGCTGTTTGAACTGCCTAGTGAGGAGATGATGTTCTATTTAAACAAATTAAGGTACTTGACATTCTTCCACCAACTGAATGTTTTGTTTCTTGTACATATTTTTTAAATGGTAACTTACATTTATTGACTGCTTTCTATCTACCAGTCACTGTGATAACATGTAAAATGAAATGGTTCACTCAACATTCAGAATAACCATATGAAGTGTGAAACTACTGTTATCCCTCCACATTTTGTAAATGAGTATCATGAGGCTTATAGAAGTTACTTTGCCACAACTAATAAGTGCAGAGATAGGAAACACATCCAGATTCTTTTGACACAAACTTATGCCAGATTTCCTCCAAAGCTCTCAAAAAGCAAATCATGTTACTTTATCTCATATAAAGCATACCAATAATGATAATATTAGGTACAAGAAAATACTTAGTGTTTTTTTAATGATGTCTGGATATCCAAATTTTGGACAAAGTTTGGATGAAATACAGTTGGCCTATTCACATATATAACGTGACATAAATGATGGTTCTTCATTCAGTAGTTAAAAGTAATTCTTTAAAAAGGTACAAAATATGGTACTCTCATCCTGTTTGTGGTAATAATGAACACCAGTATTGGTAATGATTCATAAGTTAATTTGACTTCCTTTTTAATAATCTTTGTATTTCTTACCTTTCTTAACCATGTCTACATATGTATCTAACTTTTAGAATTCTAGGGAAAATTCTGGGGCTAATTTCTGGTCCCTGTGTTGCTACAGAATCTTACAGAAGGAATAATTTATTATAGGCAAAGGATATATATTAGAAAGATAAGACCAACTGAGGGCTTTTCTCCATCATTTTATAATGAAACTTTTCAAACATACAGAAATGTTGATAGAATTTTACAGTAAATACCCAAATACCAACTTCATGGATTCTAAATTTTACGTGTTTTATTACTATCTATCCATGTTACTTTTATGATGCATTTCAAAGTAAATTGCAGACCTCAGTATACCTCCCCCTGATACCTCAACATGCATACCACTAAATAGAGTTTAATGTTCAGTTTTTAAAATTTTTGATGTACATTTACATGCAGTGAAATGCACAAATGTTAAATATAAATTTGCTGAGTTCTTGCAAATGCGTACATCTGCGTAACCCAAACCCTTTTCAAAATTTAGAACATAGCACTCATTCTGGAAAGTTTCCTCCCGTTCCTTCCCAGTCAATCCTCACCACACCTATTGGGGGTTAACTACCGTTTTGATTATTTTGCCTCACAGATTAAATTTGCCCATTCTAAAACCTTATATGAATGAAATCATACAAAGTGGAATGCTTCCTTCATTCACCGTGTTTTTGAAGTTAATTCACTTTGCATGTACCAGTGATTCATCCCTTTTTATTGCTGACCAGTCTTTTGTATGAATGCGTCAATTTGTTTTTTCCAGTTTTCTGTTAATGGACACCTGGGCTGTTTCTGATTTTTTTTCTTTTTTTTTTTTACTATTGTGAATAAAGTGCTGTGAACATTCTTGTACACATTTTTTTGCGAACATATTTCTTTATTCCTCTTGGGTAAACATCTAAGAATGGAATTATTGGGTCCTAGGTAGGAATGTGTTTAGTTTAATAAGCAATTGCCAGATCCCCCCCCCACCATCCACCCCTGAAGGATTGTATCATTTCACATGCCTGCAACAATATGAAACTTCCAGTCATTCCACATTTTCTCCAACATTTGTGGTTCTTAGTCTTCTTTATCTTAGCATTTGTGGTGGGTGTATAATCATCTCTAGTTGATACGTAGATTGTTT